GTGAAGGGTGTAAATTTGAGAGTCCTTTCAATTTTTCAGGACCCAGACCAAAATATCTCTTACAAAAAACCAATGGGTCTAAATGAAAAATCCTATAATATACTTTGTAAAGGTCTAGTAAAAAAAATATTAAATTTTTGTGACGATCCGCAGTATGGTGTGGATCTGGACCATTGAAAGAAAACGTCCCAGACCACATATTTCGAAAAGGATCAACTGATCTGAATGAAACATTCGGAATAAAGTTTAACCAAGTTACAAGGAAGAAATTATTATGTGCTGCGACGATTGAGTAAAGGGTGTATAATTTGAGGGTCATTTCAATTTTGAGGACCCAGACCTAAATATCTCTTCAAAAAAAATTAATGGGTATAATTTTAACCTTGTATAACAGTTTGTCAAGGTCGAGTGAAGAAATTATAAAATTTTTGTGACGATCCGGAGTAGGGTGTAGATCTGATGACTATTGAAATGAAAACGTCCCAGATCACATATTTCGAAAACGGATCAACTGATCTGAACAAACAGCTTCTTCATGTTAATTTATCTTTGTCATTCTAAATTCATTCCACTCTCCCCTTTGTGGCATAAATACTGCACTCTGATTTTACCTTATCCTTATTTATATTTTGCTTTGTACTACTGTTACGGTTCATTCAACAAATTTTAGCATGCATAACATTATATTTAATATCCACTGTCCCATTTTAATTTAATGTTTTAAATTTGTTTCAAAATTTCAGTCAATGGCATACGAAGCGTGACTGTTGTGTCAGGCCTACGGCCTAGTCTGGGGGGGGGGGGCTAACAGGTAGGACCTAGCTCTGCTTGTAACTAGGCCCACAAGTTTAGCCTCTTTTGCTCTAGCCTTTAATAGGAATGTACCTACGGTATTTACCACTGGTACTACTATAGAAGGGGGTACTAGCTGTTGTTGTTGTAGTACATTTGATAACAAACATACAAGAAGCTCAAGTTAGTTACAGACGTAGCATACATCCCATAAATCGGTAAGATTTCATAGGCCTACATGAAATCTTACATATGTAAGAACAGTACAGTAAAGGTAATAGAATACACGAGCGTCACGACATTGCGAAGTGCTTGCTCATCAAACTCGAGTCGAATCAATCCGAGACGACCCAAGTGGAGTTTCATGCAAATGTTTCGTACGGAAAAAAAAAATCGCTTATACCGCTAGCAGTGAAGTTAGTGATTATAATACGGTGGTTGATTTCCGCCAAACAGTAAAAAAAAATAAAATAGGGCGTTATAACGCCCTATTACGGCGTTATAACGCTCTATTACGGCGTTATAACGCCCTAATTACGGCGTTATAATGCCCTAATTACGGCGTTATAACCCCTAATTACGGCGTTATAGCGCCTAATTTTACGGACACCCATTCGTGCCAGAAGTATATGTTAGCGCTACTAATTCGAAATTTCGAATTACAAATTATTAGCTCAGCTTGATGCCCCTTGCTGAGGCAGATTCCGCGCAGCTTTCGCTCCACCCCTTAGTCCCTATATATGGTCTGTCTCT